GTTTCGGGCCTAGACCCTTCTTCAGAAAAAATTTTTTCTGAAGAAGGGTCTAGGCCCGAAACGTCAGCCTTCCTGCTCCTCTGATGCTGCTTGGCCTGCTGTGTTCATCCAGCTCTACACCTTGTTATCACAAACAAGATGTAGCTGGAGTTGGAGAATGTGGGGGCAGTGGGATGTAATCAAAGTGGAGACAGAGGTCGTTCTCTGAAATTGTTAAACTGAATTAAAGTCCTCAAGGCTGTGAGGTACCGAAGCAGGAAATGAAATGTTGCTCCTCCAGCTTGCGTTGAGCTTTTTTGAAACACTGTAGCAGGCCTAGGAAATGTTAGTATAGAATTGTGATGGTTCATTGATATGGCAAGTAACTGGTAGTTTGGGTCATTCTTACAGACAGCACGGGGGGGTTCCACAAAGCGGTCACCCAGTCCGTGTTTCGTCTTGTCAATGTAAAAGAGATTGCACTGAGTAGTGAATACAATGGACTGGATTGATAAAAGTACAAGATAAAATGCTTCTTCACCTAGAAGGTGCTTTAGGACTCTGGACAGAGAAGAGATGAAAGAGCAAGTGTTACATCTTCTAAAGTTATATGGGAAGGTGCTTTGTGGTGGGATTGAGGGGTGAGGGTTGCTGTATTGGCAAATGGAGGGGTTGAGGAGGAAGTCCATCATACAGCACAGAGACAGGCCTTTTGTTCCAAATTATTCCCACCGATCAGACATCCCAATTTAACCTAGTCCCATTTGCCAGCATGTGGCCCATATCCCTCTTAAACCTTTCCTTTTATATACCCATCCAGATGCATTTTAAACGTTGTAATTGTTCCCACCTCTTCGGGCAGCTCATTCCATACACGTACCACCCTCTGCGTGAAAAAATTACCCCTCAGGTCCTTTTTAACTTTGTCCTCTCACCTTAAACCTATGCCGTCTAGTTTGGCTATGCACCTTATCCATGCCCCTCATGATTTTATAAACTTGTATAAGTCCAGCTGTCAGCCTTTGACGTTCCAGGGAAAAATAACCCCAGCCAATTCAGCTTCTCCCTATAACTCAAACCCTCCAGTCCCAGAAACATCCTTGTAAATCTTGTTTGCACCCTTTCAAGTTTAACAACATCCTTCCTTTAGAAGGGTGACCAGAATTATACCCAGTATTCTAAAAGTAGCCTCACAGTGTCCTGTACATCTGAAACACGATGCCCCAACTCCTATACTCAGTGTTATGAGCAATGAAGGCAAGCATACCAAACGCCTCCTTTACCACGCTGTCTATTTGCAATTCCACTTTCAAGGAACTGTGCACCCCTAGATCTCTGTTTGGCAACACTCCCCAGGGCCCTACCATTAACTGTATAAGTCTTGCACTGGTTTGCCTTACCAAAATGCAACATCTCGCATTTATCTAAATTAAACTGCATCTGCCACTCTTCAGCCCATTGACCCATCTGATCATGGTCCCATTATACTCTGAGATAACCTCCTTCACTGTCCACTAAACTTATCTATTTTGGTATAATCTGCAAGCTTGCTAACCATGCCTCCTATATATACATCCAAATCGTTTATGATTTCCGTTTTTAAGTTGTGTTTTGTGTAGACTCCAAATGTTGTTGGCGGATTCAAAGGAGTAATGATAGCAAAAACTAACAATTTTGCTTGGCAATGTGACTTCAAAATCCAGTTCGATTTCAGGATCTTTTAGCAGAATTTAATCATTTCCACAGCTACCTTCTAAGGTGATTTTAAACTGGCAGAAGTTACAGTATATTGTCAAATTTGACGTACAATGGCAACAATCATTTTTTACACAGAAACTTAGATGAAAGGTCAAAATGGCAGATACAAAAATGTATGAAAACAAGACGTCGAAGTAACTCAAGGAAACCCTGAAGTAATCAGATCCTATGTGGATACACCTGTTTTCCTACTCCTGGCAAAAGATTGTGAAGAAACAGCAGAACTGTCATTAATGCAAAGCAGTTTTCAATTGACAATTTTGCAATTTTTGATCCTCTTCAACCCCCAAATTGAAAATTGCAACAAGTAGCTAACTCCAGAAGCAAAATCAAGAAAGGACTGAGTTTACATTTATAATTTAGGCATTTAACAAAAACTGAGAAGAAAATGTATACAGAGGTATTTTCAAAAATGGTAAGTTACTCCTTCTACAAGAAAAATAAACTTGATAAACCATATGGATTTCTAGCTTACCCCTTCAAATCACTCAATTCCGTTTGGCATACACGGTATGTTATTGCCCACACATTTATGAATGGTAAGCAAATAAATAAAACTGCTCGGAGTGCAGCAGTGTGTGGAAAGATTACATTAAACTTAGAAATGCAAAACAGTGAGGAGAATAATAAGACTGTTGTACAACATAATCTGACAAATTGGGCAGGCATATCACACATAGATGCAGCACAGAAATAGGTCAGTCAGCCCACTGACTCCATACTGACATTTATGATTCTCAAACTTCTTCCCATTCTTCTCCTAACTCCATGATGTGGAGGTACCTGTGTTGGACTGGGGTGGACAAGGTCAGAAATCACATGACACCAGGTTATAGTCCAACAGGTTTGTTTGAAAACACAAGCTTTCGGAGTCCTGCTCCTCTTCCAGGTGTCAGTGAGTGAGGTAGTAATAGACACAGAATTTATAAGTAAAAGATTAAAGGGCCACATCGCTGATGAGGATGTACGAAACAAACCTAAGATGCTGTTAAATCTTTAATCAGTTGATTAATATGTATATGTAAATCCCTGAATTCCTTTGAAGTCACTGTCCTGAGAGAACTAAAAGTTTTATTAGGGTGAAGAGGAGGTGACATTTTAGTTAATGCATGTTAGGTGTGAGGCCTTGTTTAGAATCTGTTAGTGTTTTGGTTTGGAGTCAGACTGGTTTTATTTCTAAAGTAGGAATTTATAAAACGCCACATTGACTGTTTATAAATTGTGTGTGTTTTTGAACACCTGAAGAAGGAGTAAGGCTCTGAAAACTTGTGTTTTCAAATAAACCTGTTGGACGATAACTTGGTGTCGTGCGATTTCTGACCTTAGCTCTTTATCAGCATAACCTTCTATTCCCTGCCCCCTCATCTGCTTGTTACCTTCCCTAAATGCGCTTATAACAATTCCTTCAACCACAGCCTATGGCAGTGATTTCCTCATTCTCACCATGTCTTTGGGTGATGAAGTTTCTTCTGAGTTCCCTTTTCGATTTCTTGGTGAATATCTTACATTGTTGTCTAGTTATGCTCTTC